TTGCCATACCTAATGTTTATTTTTACATGATAATTTTACAGTTATTGATTATAAAACACGTACAAAACTATAATAGAGAAAAAAGAAACTTCAGATAACTTAAATATCAACAGAACAAATTCTATCTCTTAAAGAACTCATTGTTTACGAAGTACAGAAACCTAAGCTGTCAAAGTTTTGATTTTCAAAGATGTTTTTGTGTTTGTCATAATAAGTTATGATTGAAAAAATAGACGCTCCACAGGAACTGACGAAGCTAGTGTGCGCGAGCGCACCGATTTTTGTTAAATTGCGATGTATACATTGATGATTCTTCTACCAATTCGAAATATCAATATAAAATTTTTTTCGTACAGTTTAATAGTAATAATGTAATTTTTTTTTTTCAAAAGCAAAATGATTCATCAACGTAAATTGAACCATAATAAAAGAAAATGAAAGCATCCAGAGGAAAAAAAAATAGACTCCTTATCACATGCGAGAGCCATTATTTTAATTTCGCTCATAAGTACGTAGTTATGGAAGGTAAACAAAGAAAGTAAGCGTTATTTTCAAAATATGAGAAGCCAATCCAAATACAGAAGTTGTATTAGCAAAAGTAATCTGTGGAAATGAATGCACTGCGTATCATATTATAAGACATTATTATAAGACAATTGATATTTTAAGATATTATCAAGGCAATACAGAATAGTCTGACTCAATAACAAAACAGTTTTTTTAGTGTTTGTTCTTCTTGCTCTTGTGAAGCCCTACTCTTTACGTTTGCAATATTTTGTCATTCGAACGTGTTTTTTTTTTTTTTGTTTTACGATTGATTCGATTTATCCGGTAGATCAGTGTCGATTAACATGTCCGATATTTGTTTAAAATTTCATGAGGACATAAAAAATCTATAAAATTGTTTCATTAAAGGTATTTTATTACCATCTTTAACGATGCCATATTTAATGTGACAAAGTTTTTTATCAGTGTTCCCCAGGTCAGAAAATGTTTCAAAATTATCAAATTTGAATAAAATCTTCTTCAATTACTTATTCAAAAGATAACATTAACGATTGTCGTAATACTTCTAATGAAAAATTAAAAATTGATTTCAAACAAATAATATGATCCTATAAATAAATACTGTAAATAAATGCTCTTTATCGATAAATATACATTCTACACATACGCTGCTTACATGTATTCAGTAGGTAAATTAATACATTTTATTTCAATATTTCTTGATGGTACAAATTTGAAAGAAAATTTTTATAACTTTATTCAACAACATATCCAAAAAACAACCAGTTTATGTCGTTCAAATTCGTGTGATAAATATTACAGCTTTTGAATTTGAACACTAGTGAATGTTATTAACAATCGTTTGTAAAACCGGTACTTTGAGGAACTTTATTTAGTTTACAAAAAATGTAGATTGATTTTATTAGTCATAATCATAAGGATACTTATTAATTATTTTAATACGACTTAATGGAAAACATAAATGTGTATAATATTACGCTACAGTTTACACTGCAACTAGAAGATATAGACACAGTAAGCATCCATGGCGCGAAACGCTGGTGCTATCTTGATTTCCGTTAAAATAGTTTGGTAGTAGAAGCAAATGATACAATGATATGACATAGAAGAATTATAGATTTTTATACTATAATACTAACTATTATTCATTTGTTTATTATAATTAGTAGTGGCTCCGAAGACGTAGCAATAACAACTTTTAGAAAACCAGGTGTGGGTCTCGGGACCCCCGACAGATGTGAAACATCAAAGAATACGGGATTGATATTAGTAATATTTAATTTTCTATGATGAAAAAGTATTTATTTTTTTCATCCTAAACAATTTTAATTTTCTATTTTTATATTGAAAAGACAGATTATTAACGAATACGTGTTTTTATCAGTGAATATAATAGGTAAGGAAAAAAATTATGTTAATTTTTTTTTTATTCGTGGACACATAAACAAAGAGAACGAGAAAAAACAATAATACACGGCAAAGAGTACTTATCTAAACTACCTACCGACACAAAGGTACATGTATATGTTTAGCAGTACGTTCATGTGTATTACTTTCTCTGTCTCTTTTCGGATACCAGTACGGAATTGTGCACGTGCGCGAGCTTCATTGGCTTTTTACTGGAAATGGGTTAACACGTAAGAATTGAGTGAACAGAATCGAAAGGTAAAGCTATAGGTAAACCTGTGTGAGTACAATAGAGAGAGAGAGAGAGAGAGAGAGAGAGAGAGAGCGTGACAGGAGACGATAAATGGCTTTTTCTATATCACTTACTGATACAGATACTGTCAAAATGTATTTTTTTTTTTTTTTCTCAACATTTTGCGCTTCTTGAAACAAAAAAAAAGTGCTTATTGATAGAGAATTTTTCGTCCTACACGCACACGCTGGTGTTTTTATTTTTTTTGCATCTCAAACAGTTATCAGATGTAAGCAAAACGAACTTTTAAACACGATTTTAACTTTATTCAACCACTTAAAAACAATTATAACTATTTTCTTCGCAATTAGTTGGCTGAATTACATATTATATAAAAAACGCCAAACTATCGTTCAATTTTTTAATTCAGTATGCTATAGTGTACTGACTGACTGTGGGTATGTACAATTTCCTTCCCTTTATTCAAAGGATATTTACATAGTTTTTTTACATAGATTATATATTCGTGGAATCATCTCATTTTTACATATTATAATTACTTTATTTTTCGCTTGTCATTTACATTTTTATATACTTATTCTTTTTTTACATCTTATCTCTATCTTATATCCCCGATTACGCATGACCGGATATCGAGAACTCATCACAATTCTTTTCGATTTTTCTTTTCGTACGCATTTTTATTTCCTTTTTTCATTTAAAAGTAATCCTTAATCCTAAGTTGGTGTCGTGAATTGGATTCCGAAAATGACCATCAGAAAAAATCTGAGTGCTCCGACTGGGAATCGAACCAACGACCCCTTGAGCTGTGTTGTTTCGGTGACTAGCACGCTAACCAACTGAGCCAACGACGAGCTCCAAAAAGGTTTTATATACACATCAATCGTTATATAGTAACCGTAAATACGTTTATATATAAATATGAAACTGCATGGATATATTTAGAGCTCGTCGTTGGCTCAGTGGTTAGCATGCTAGCCACCAAAACAACACAGCTCAAGGGGTCGTGGGTTCGATTCCCGGTCGGGGTACTCTGATTTTTTCTGATGGTTCTTGTCGGGTATCGAATTCATAAAATCGAGTAAGGATAAAGATTTAGTTGTTAAGATGAAAAGAAAAATAAAAAAAAGCGATTGAAAAATAAAGAATTGTGACGAGCTCTCGATAACCGGTCCTGCTGCGTGACCGGGGAGATAAAAAAGATATGATATGCGAATAATAAAGAACGAAAATGTAATGACAATCGAAAATAAGAGAAATGTATAATGATACGATGAAAACGACATGTTAAAAGACAATACAAATGTTCAATGAATGAAGATAGTGTACATACCCATAGTAGGTCAGTACACTATAATATAAAAAATAAATGTATATATTTAGTGAGAGAGAGACAGAGACGAGTGCTTAGTTGTGGGGTGAACAGCAATGGCGGAGTGGACCAGACTTTTCGTTGCATATTTCCCTTCACGTGGCTGTTCACTGCCCGCCATAAGATGTTTCACATCAAAAAGTGTCAAAAGATAAAAAATTTTATAAAAAGTTATAAGTATTAAAATATCAAAAAATATTTTTATAATTGTAAAGTTGACGGGTAACGTTTGTGCAAATAAAAAAAAATTTTTTTAAGGCTACTATTATTAGGGAAAGTAGAAAAAACTAAGCAAGAAATTGAGCATTGGCTGACTCATATGCACACACGCGCACGGGCACATAAATACATTTATGTAACCTACAAAAACAGTATAGTAGCGTGTAGTAGACGTAAGCTTAAGTATTGCAATGAATTTCGTTTTCAATCAATGTGACAACAACTTTACAAAAACTTTGCCTTCTTCATACTTTTATTTTAAAAGCCTGAAAACTCTACTTTAAGTTTTCTGACCATTTACATACGTCCAATTGTATCAGTAATTGCAAACAATTGGAGACAAATAAGTGTCTTTTCAATGTAAATCGTATGCCTTTCTCTTTTATATACCACCTAACAATTCCTGAATTCATTCAATTCAAATATCTCTCCGCACGGTATCGCTGTCAGCGGCACTTATTGTGCCTAATGAGTAAGTAACTCACGCACGAAGGTAAACTGAAACGGAATTTATCTATAGAGATACATCTCTAGGGATTTATCACGCAATTAACCGTTCTAGAGGTGAAGGGAGAAAAAAGGATTTTCGTTATCAAAAAGGAAAATTTTGGTAGTCTAAAAGGGAAAAAAACTTATCTGGCAACACTATATTAGAGATCGCAGACATAATTGATCAGTATACTGCACAGAGCTTTTTCAATTTTCCTTTACATTGTGAGTCATGGCTTTTTTCTTGATGTAAAATTAATCGAAGACTTGGAGTAAAAATTTTAGTTAACAAGAAAATGTACGACAATATAATGCGTACACTTCCCTTTTTTGTTAACTATTTTCAAGGAAAAAAAAATTCTAGCACTTTCACGTGACTTGCGCTTGCAACGACAACAATATAATTAGAAATAGTTTTGTTGTTGACAAAAACTTAATCATCCCAGATTTTTTTGTTTTTGAGCGAATTTTTCTAAGCTTGATCTCAATTTAATACCTCATAAATGTTTGTACTTACCTACATGTTTGCATGCAGCTATAAAATTTTTTCTTGTAGTTAATTTCATCGCTCTAAGATTGTACCTCTCGATAACGAGATTATTAGTCTGAAACTGAATCCAAAAGATTTTTAACAGTACTTGATTGGCCTAAAAAATAAAATCAAAAAACTATTATCCTCATGCTTGAGTAAATGCCATAACTATCATGGAAAATCGTTATTTTCACTTATAGGTCGAAGGTCGAAATTCTCATTGGACCATGGAAAAAACTCTGCCCATCTGTCTTCATTAGAAGAAGAAAAGAAAAAAAACAATATACGCAATTCGACTTGGCAAAGGAGCATCATGAAATCAAAAAAGAACGATCTTGAGGGAAATCTCGACCCATCAGAGTCTCAGCCCTCAGCCGAAACCCAAGAGCGCTATGACGAGTTTGATTTGTCCACGACAAAGGCAGCAGCTCTGTCAGCCGCGATGCAGGCCTCGAGGGCCGCTAACAAGAGTCCAATGAGCGACGAGGGCATCGAAACCGATAGCGAACGAAAGCGCGGATCGATATCCAGGTGCTGGAGCATCGATTCTGCGGCTACGAGCGAAGAGGATTATGGACAGAAAATACAGAAGCTCAGGGTTACGCGCTGCCTCAGCTCGGATAGTGCTGTTTTGAGCGACGATGATCAAAACAAGGGTGAACTTTTTTTTCTACCTTGTCGCTCATGAGAGCATAATTGTATTAATATGGATGGTAATGATTATTAAATTACGGTGATGGAGTAGAAAGCGAGAGCAGTGTCGAGGGCAGGCCGAGGTATTGGAGAACGCCGAGTGTGGTGGTGAGCGACTACTCGGACTACTCGTACTTCGACGAGAGGTCGGAGCGATGTGACTCGGACCTGGAAAAATTGGATGCCTGCATATTGAGTAGTGACACCCCCAGCCAGGCGAGCAGTTGTTCTTGCCTTGACTGTGACGAGGGCCGAGATTTTACCGATCCCTTGCCTAGCCTTGACAACCACTTGCTGCAACAGATCTGCCTGAATCGCAGACACTCCGATTCGTGCTGCCTTTGTATCGGACCCGGCAGCCTCAACATATCCAGGTACATACGTGTATACTTTATACTTGACACGAGTTATTTTTCGTAAGTTGAACCAATAATTAATGCATATAATTTACTACCATTTACGACAGGCACACAAATAACGGTAAAAGCCGGCGAAATTCGTGCCTGGGTTCACCGAGTCCGTACTATTCAAAATTACCGGTCAACACTGAAGAATCGAACAAGACGCTGGGAGATCAAAAAGAAAAGACATCGTCAACAGCATCGATCGAGTTTCTCGACATTCTACCACCTCGAAAGATCTCGGATTGTTCCACGCTCTCGAGTTTAAGTGGTGACGAGTTCGAGGTCACCGAACTGCGGCAAGTCAAACGGCCTCAGGTGAGAAGTGGTTGTTTTCAAATAGCAGTGCGCAATTTTTTTATTTTTAATCGACTGAGAGTTAGGTAGGAAAATCCATTGTCAGCTGAACGAAAGTCTCTGCCGATAATGTAGATAAGAGATCTTCAGATTTGCGGGTAAGCACGTACCATACAAATATTGGTGTCATCTTAATGTCCATCGATTTAACAAATAAATAATAGTTACCTTTGGTGAGTAAAAAAAAATTTAACTTCCAAAAGTACAGTATACCCCATATATAAATCGACCGATGTGTATTAAAATTTTTGTTACTAATAACCGTACGTAAGAATTAAGAAATGTGCACCCTCAATACGAAACGGAAATAATTTGGGAAGGGATTTAGTCAAGCAGCTGTGTGCAAAAAAAATGGCACTCATGAAAGATATAATTGTAAGCATGTTAGATAACTGCTACTTATTGCCCTTGTCCATTGGCGGTGTGTATTCGTACATACCATGCGAATATAAAATCGGTTGTCTGTTATTTAACAAATTTTATATTTTTGTTAGCTTCCACCCTTCATACTAATTTATGTGACCTAGAGATATTGACTTCACAGATTCCACAATTTGAAAATCAAACCATGCTCTCAGCGCAAGTACCTCTGAATTTTTACTTGTACACATAAGTTTGAACCTTCTTTTTTCAATACTTTGGAAACAACTTTTATTCAAAGCGATTTTGTACATTGCCAGTCGATAACCCAGAATTTTGTGAGAAAAATCGTACTAATTCCATTTTTTATATATTAAGAATAGCTGAAAACTAAGAAAAATTTTTTATTAGAAATTATTTTTTAATTATCAAAATTCGATTAAAGTTACAGGATGGTAATTTTAACGAAAAAAATTAAATAGATTCACACAACACTATAGAGACATTACAGTGTTATGTAATTCTGAAAAAAATAGCTGTGCTCAGTAAAAGAAGCGGTTCTTTTTGAAGAAATTGAATTCCTACTGACCTGAAAATGATAAAATTTTCTTGTTACGTAATAAAATAATATAAAGTGGCATAAAGTAATACAAATTTGTTTACGTAATAAAACTTTCATGAAATGAAATGTTAACAATTTTGTAATTCAAATTTAAATAGTAATCTAACGTTTCTACGTGACGATTATACGTAATTATCATTTAGTTGAGTACTTTAATTCATGACATGATTTTATCGGTGGCTTTTAAAAGTGCCAAAATCATAAATTTTTGCTTCCAAATGCACCAAATTGAACCTTTAAAAAACGTTAACTTACACCTTTCGAAAGCGTCAAACGAAACCTTTTAAAAACGCTAAAGGTAAAATATCAAATAAAACAAATAAATAAGCCGTGGATATTAAAAATAATATATTTTCTATAAATAGTTACATACCCAGACACATATTGCTTTGAAGTTAATTTAAATTATCATTATACTATCAACATTGAAAACATACTTTTACTATGTCCGTCCATTTATAATTGGAACAGGTAGTGATTATTTACAAATTTTTTTTTGGAACTCTAAGGTTGTTAATTGGTTATTATCTAATTCAGTACGGCGGTCTTTCAAATATTGAGGAGTCAGAAAATTTTAAGTACGTGGTACTTTGAATCTTTTTCATTACATCTGTGCACAAATGAGCGTTTGGGTGCGAGGTATAAAAATTACGTGGCGGAAATTGGCACTCCTCATCAATGTAGTTACTTAGCACGTAATCGGAAAATTTCGTCAATAAGCTGTTATCGGGAATGGTAGACATAGAACGATTTTATCATGTAACAAACTCATGTTACATTTTTTGAGTTTTTTTTACATGAATCAACTCATTCCACGATTAAACCTTATTACATTTCAAGGGTACGTATTTTTTTATTTCTGCTAAATAGCACTAACAAATGATGAAGCTTGTAAATATCTGGATCTTACAATCACAGACAATTAGTTTTATCTTTTAAGTACTACATTCCTTTAAAGTAGTATTCTAGTGAAGATTTCTTCAGTCTGATGCTTTTAATCTGACTTAATGCATTTATTTTCTGTGTGTAAAAAAAAAGAGTTATGTGAAAAGTATTATTTAGTAGTATTATTTTATTGTTATTTAGTGTTATTTACAAACATACATTCCTGACAATTTTGCTGAATACCATCCCTTAAGTGTACATTTAATATATTTATTTTTGTTGATTACAACAATTGCACTATCTTCATCAGACTTAATTACTGATAATTTTTTATTGGCTTTAAAAAAAATGTTAGTGAATTCTGTCACTGTATAGTTTTGTCAATACAAGAGTATCTGTTATTATTAAAACAGTTTTTAGTCAAGATGCTTGTAAATTCTTTTCTCATTGCGTTTTTGCATTTGTCATCAAACGAGTTGATAAATAATTTAACATACTCAAATTCCTTACAGATTGAAAGAGATATTCTTTATCAGTATTTACATTGTTGTAATTAAAATTTTGTCTGAATGACAGTGTGTATATTTCATGTTCATGTAGTATAATAATTATGCTTTTCAAAAATTTTGCTATTAGTTACATTTTATGTTAACCATTTTTGTCTTAAATTATGATAAACAATTTTGTTGTTTTCATTATTAAACTTCTTGTGAAGTTTATTGTTTGAATTAGTAACAGTGTTAGATTAGTTAAAAAATTTGTTTCTTTGTTTTTAAAATACAGTACTGTTCATGTAACGCAAGAATACAAGTAAATTGTACATGGATGGTTTTACAAAATTTTTCTCATTCTCTAGCCCTATAGTTTCTAACTTTACAGCCTAATAAGGAGCTATGTAATATTTGATGCAAGTAATTTATTTGATGCTCGATCAAATATATCAATTTTCTCTTTGACTAAATTAATGTTTAAGCCCTTTCCACGAACTTTCTAAAGTACAATAGGTTCTCGGCCAGTGAGTTTGAATAATCATATTATATTATATTGTCCAGCTTTAAAAGTTTCTTGTCTGGAGTTTCTCCACTAACTTACTGTTTCTCTACTTCCTCTGATCTTAGTATCACTTCATCGTTGTCGTTTGCGTACCCAATGTCAAAGTTATTACTTGGTAAATTGCCTTTTTTATGGAGAGGCAATTTATGTGTAACCACGTATATGTGACGTTGATTCTTACTCACTGAATAAATATGCGACCTATTGATTAAAATAAAAACAAGGAGGAGAGACAAGGTCGTGACTATGTTCAACGAAAAAATAAATGAATGTATATTTATTAATATATTCTCTTATCTTGTGATACATTATTTGAACTCCATTGCAAGAACACAACAACAAGTTCATTGTACTAAGAACTTAGTTTTATTGAGTAAAAATTATATCATAAATACGCTTCTACAATTCTACAATAAACATAATTTTATTGAGGTACTTATAAGTATAGATTATCCTCAAAAACTAAATAATATTATACAAAATAATAATGATACTGCGTGAATATGCTTCTAATATGAACTTAATTTTATCGAGATATCAGTGACTATGTATTTTATTTTAGATAAATTTTACAATTGACCCAGAATACTGGGAACCTTATTAACAGCCATAAATGTTTTCAATTTAAACCTATTTAACGTCTACTTGGGAGAGGTAATACTCTCCAAACTGTAAACAAAGTACGAGATCGCTCCCACAGCAGCTTGTGTTCACGAGAATGAGTTTTACTAGCTAAGACGGTTTTGAATTTATTTATCTTCGGCTTGATGTATTCTATTGTAAACTATAAACGTCGACTATAATACTGTAATTTATTCTCGTTACTTTTAACTGTAATGATCATGAATCTTGTAACGTTGAACCCAGCCAGCTAGGCACGTGCTCACAACTACCCCGAGTACAACGCTACGGATACAGCTGTGCTGTCCAGCCTGTCTGGTATGACCACCGTGGTTCAGCGCCATAGCCTAAAGTACCCTGCACAGCTGTGGATTATTTTCAACTCTATAATAATGCCAGTAGCTCCTTTGACGAGCCACTAAAATTCTTCCCACCACCCCAAAGGAGCTACTACAATGCCCCCAAGGAGCCACGAACCCCGAACCCACAGCCACTACCCGGTTTGCTCAAGGAGGGCACGAAGTGCTCCTCACGACACGAGTCAGTTAGCCATGTATTGCGTAACCACTAACATACTCCCGAGAAGCCACTAACCTAAAGAGATGGGTATGCAAACACATCACTCTCACTGTCTCGCGCACCTTTTGCACATTTAAAGCCATTGCATAATGCCTTGGGGCTCCTGGTGCTCGATATCAGCTCCAGCCCCGGTTTTCTCTCAACCGTTGCAGCTACCGATCATACTCAGCTAGTCAAGACCCAATGACCCCTTTCCCGGTCAACAAGATTCACGGGAAAAGGCAAAGTCGCAAATCACTCAAATCCTTTCAATAAACGTGCAGAAATTTTTCGTTCATGTTATCCAAGGAAAAAAACTAAAACCACGCAAAAAGACTCAGATCTGCTACTACTGAGCCCAACTACTTTTTCCTATCCCTAGCAACAACCCTTGATCGATCGCCTGCCGTCGATCAACGATTACTGATTGGCTAGTTAAGCACCAGTTCCCTCTTTTGTTTAGTTAATTATCTTTTAACCATTATCATCATAATGATATGACCAGAAAATCGTACCAGCACCTCCACCAGTCTGGTCCTCATATTTTAATATCGATCTCGTGATTAAACTTATGCCTTTTTTGTCGACGTTGGAGCTCGTAAAGAGATTTCAAGTGCCATCGCTTCCAAAAATCCCGTCATGCTGTCGTGATGAAACGCCATGTTGATAATCCATTATCTGGAACACAAGAAAGAGCAGCCTCTGGTAAAAAATTCAACGGTCTTCTAATTAATAAATGTGCCAGCGTAATGGCCACTAAATCGTTAGGATCATTTGGTACGTTCAACAATAACTCGTTTGTTAAGTACTGTGGAATCTAAATCCAATACCTTGTCGTGTAAATTATTTAAAGCATAAAGTCCACAGATCATCCACATACAATTCACGCTTAAGAATCTTTGACGTCAGAGAAAATTTGTCTCTCTCGTCGTCAGCTCATTTATGTAGCATTTAGATAGTTAGATATGGAACAGATGCAACTTCTACAGTAACCGTATTCAATTCGTAAGCCACGACATCCTTACCGTGGAACCAAAAAATTGTGCTGCTCAGGTGATCGTCTCTAACTTGCCCACTCCCAGTAACGCGCTCGGCTTCGTATTTTTCAAGTCACGATGGAGAGATATGGGATGCCGATCTCCGCATATCTTACACGATCCTACTCTGCAATTCCCTGAGTGAACGCCTACACAATTTTGGCACAATTTTTTGAATTGAACAAATTTCCATTGCTCTTCAATTCTTAGTTTATTGTAGTCCGGGCTAGAATAAAAGCGGTATGCCTCTCCGCAGCGTGAACATTTAAATGTGTTAGTCTCTATGACCGTCAATCGCAACTGTCCCATATTCTTTGTCTTTTTTGCAACCGTTTCGAGTTCCCGATCTCCTTGACGCTTCACTCTCGTCTCCTGATTCGCACTCCTGATTTTTGCTGGATAGGGATTTGAGTTGGATAGGGATTGGCACTTCCCGCTCCAAAAAATACGGGATCAT